CCTAGCCTACACACCAATGAGTGAGTCTTTATAAAAAACTTTATGACATACAGTATTACAGCCATGTTCATAATACAGTATTGGAGGGGAAGGGTACAGCTCAGTGGCAGAGCGCGTGCTTAGCACGCACAAGGTCCTGGGTTCTAGCCCCGGTACCTCCATTACAAAAACAAAACACACACACATAATACAATATTGGAAACACTGGTACATGTTTTTAAAAAAACTACTTACCTGTGATAATAGGCGGGTATGCAGTTTCTCCAGTTATGAAAGAGAGGCGAACTGTATGGTAATGTATTCTTTAAAAGAAAAGTTATAAAACAGAAAGAAAACTAATACACTGTTAACTTTACAGTAAATATCACTCACCTCATGTCTATGTCAGGTTAGACTAGTATCTATGTATATTTTATGCATTCATGACATACTTCACTTTTCCTTAATTTGGGGGATATTTCCAGGCTATGCAGTTCATCTGTAAGTTTTTCAAGTTGTCACAAATCTCTAAAACTTTTTCCAATATATTTATTGAAAAAATTCTGCATACAAGAGGACCCGCACAGTTCAAAACTTTGTTGCTCAAGAATCAACTGTAATGAGTTTACCTTTCCACAATAAATAACCATGAAACTGGATAAAATAAACAAAGCATCTGTTTTTAGACATTAGTCAGTACACAGCACAGAGCCGTGATCCTTGAGAGAAGAGGAACAAAGAAGGTGTTCATCACAGAGCAGTTTGGCATTTATTTTATTTCTAGACTCATCCATACATAACCTGGTTCTCATATGTAGTCCAACATATGATGACAGAGCATCAGTGAAATATATCTCAAGCTTCCACAAGCTACCAAAGAAGAGGAGTAGTTAACATCAGACCTACTGCAATATAAGGGAATTACTTTTATAAAAATTGGACTATGGTCTCCATAATGGATTGTACAACTAATTTAAGTTTTTAGAAATCTGACCTATAATCCTGCAAAATATTTACAAACGATCAACTGCAAGCTTATACTTGGATATAAAGAACTCCACAGTAAATGCTTAAATCTGTGTAGGTCAATTATACACCCGAAATTCAGTAGCTTGCTGTAAGGAGAGACACGCTATGCATTAACAATGAAGGAGCCATTGTGAAGAGAAAGGGTAGAGTAACTGACACTAAAACCTGTATAATAAAGGAATTTGTTCTTAATGCAGGTTAAACCATGCTTACTGAAAAATAAAATACTGGAACATGTGAGTGCGTGATACACCATTTTGGTGGTCATGGATGATACAAATCGTCATACATAATCTGCTGATTGTATAAACCTAATTGGTACTTCAAAGTGTCTTACTGTTACTAATAAAAAGGCATCAACTCCACTGTGCTATTGAGGTACAGGCTTGGATTCTGTAGCCAAGAGACGATTGTAGCAGGCTGCAGGTGAGTGCTCCAGGCGAGTGAAGGGGTGGGTTTCTGCTCCATGAAGCCTTCAGGGTCTGGAGGTCCCTGTCTTTTTGCTCTGCTGGCCCCTAGGGTGTTGTCCCTATTTACGTGCCCCAGCTGAGTTTGAGCTCCAGCCCAGGGGGAGGGAGGAGGAGAGGCACTAGGAGGTAAGCAGTTTCCTTGTAAGTAAATGACATGTAAGTTGTGGGTCTCATGATCTAACGGTAAGAACTTGGTTTCATGGCCACACTCAGTGGCAAGAGAAGCAGGACAGTGTAGTCAGCCGGGCGTCCGACCGTCTGCTCAGGTAAAACTCAGCTGTCGTGGAAGACCGGGAGAACGGGTCTGGGGGACAACGAGCTGTCGGCTCCTCCGACACGCAGGCACACACTGCTGGTGGAGGTGTAACCAGGTTCAGTTTCTGGACGGAATTTTGGCAGTATGCGTCAAGAGCCAGAACACACACCTGCTCTTTAGCTTAAGAAGAACTTATCCTAAGAAAATAAAACATGTGCCTGAAGATTTAGTTGTACGGATGCGCATTGCAGAGAAATGTTAATAGCAGACAAACCAAAAACCATCGAAATACCTCATTGCTTACACGTGTAAGGAGCACCTTGTGTGTGTCGCTGGATGCCCAACGACAGTATCGCCACAGCTTACCTGGCCGAGAGCTGCGATGTTTCTAGGTCACCATTCCGGCTGCATCTGTGGCCGTCAGGCGTCGAGTGCCGACTGCGTGCCCCTCCCTGTGCTAGAATTTTGCATCATTTTACTTAATCAACTCTGCAAGGCAGGTGTTAATATACAAACAAAGGGAGGTTCGGAGCGCTTACGGTGCTTGTTTAAGATCAACCAGCAGGTAAATGATGTGGCTGGATTTGACATCAGCGCCGTCTAGTGCTTGCCTCTCTGTTTCGGGCACGTGCTCCCGTTCGACCGGCCCCGCAGGACTGACGAGGAGGCAGCAGCGTGCGCGCCACGCGCCACGCGCCACGCGCCACGCGCCACGGCAGGCTGGCGGGAGCCGTCTCTCCAGAGCGACTGAGGGGGCAGAACCCCAGCCCTCAGGATTCGTCGGGATGTTCATGCTTACAAAGGGTAGAAAACAGCTTGAACTATTTTACGTACAAAAGGGGAAGCTATCAGAAAGTAGGGCTGTCTCACCGAGCCAAGGGCAGGAACGTACGCATGGGAAGGGCTGAAACTGGAACAGGAAGGCCAGCAGGACTCCGAGACCCACGGTTTCCCACTTCGTGGCTTCCCCCAGCGCCTGGCTTCCTCAGTCACTCGAGCCGTAGGGCAGCTGGCAGACGGCAGTCGCAGCTCCCAGATTCCCGTGCACAGTTCCAGCCACGTGGAGACTCATCCTCTCCCTCCTCCCATCCGCACCTCCACACTCCCTGGCAAGAACGCTGCTCGGCTCGAGCGCGCAGCCTGTCCTCCGTCCAGCCTCCGCGGCCGGGGCCTGGGTAACGTACACAGCGCTGCCGGAGGTGAGGGACCAGATGAAGGTTCTTTGTGAGCCACCAAGATGTTCCAAATGTGTCCGCTATGCTGTAGGTCTTGTGGATCCCGGCAGGAATGGTCTTCCTCCCTTGGGCAAAGCGGACCGAGCTGAGGGGCAGCCGGGATGTGACTGCAGCCGCAAAGACCTACCTACGTGACTCGTCTCGTGACCTTGAAGGTCAGACTAAATGAGAGTTGAGAGAGGTACTGGTACCTTTTTTTTAAACCTATGACAACATTCCATAGAAAAATAAGTAGTTATCCTTCTCTACAATGACAATGATCGAGTTTGTTCAAAAGAACTGATTTTCTCACCATACTATCTTGCCCAACAAATTTGGCGGTAACAAGTTTAAATGCTTATAAATGGGCTGGTTGAAATAATCTATTTACTAAAAAGTGTAGCAGTATATCCTGGTATTTTTAGTACTGCTTGTTGAGAAATAGTAAGGGTTGGTTGGTTTGCTGTTTTCCCCAGAAACAGCTGGCATCCTTACAATGCACCTTAGTCAGAAACAGCCCTGGAAGGAAGGCAGAAAAGGATAGAAGAGACTCAAATAGGGGGAAGGGTGGGCTAGCATTTCTAGAAGATATATATATATATATATATATATATATATATATATATATATATATCCTTTTTTAAAAAATCCCCAAAATACTCTACTTCGAGGGTACGCATAAATAATTCATCTTAAAACTGCTCCGTCAGTAGGTAGGCTGTGTGGAGTGGCTGTGGGCATAAGTGGCAAAGCCTCGACGCCTTGGGCGGCCGTGACCTGCAGGGATGCTGGGCAGTGCTGCACGGGGGTTACGTGGCAGCCGTTTTCTGTCAAATGGGGAGAATTTCCAACTTAGACTCTAATTTGAAAGTTATTCTTTTACATAAAAAGAGGAGAGTTTAAAAGATCTTCCCCTCTTCCTGCTTGAGAACACTCTGGAGAGACAGACAATGGCCACATTCCTGGAAGTGGCAGAAGGCATTTGCAGACTTGAATCCTACTTAGCAACACCATCTGCAGAAAGTTGATACATAAAGTAAAGTTTAGGTTTTGGTTTAAATATCCCTTCTTTCAGGATGTCTTTTCTCATCCCTTCAGACTAGGTCAAAAAATCCTGCTCTGAACGTCCACAGAGTCAGGGGCTGCACGGGGCAGAGCCGCACACAGAGCAGGCTCGGCGAGGGCGGGGGTGATTTTATCTGGTTTCCTTTGCATCTCCAGGGCCAGATACCCAACAGGCATTAGATAAAGATGTGTTGAATGAAAGAAAACGTTGTTGCGAGTGGATGCAAGGTGGAGAGTGAGCATTGCTGGCAGCTGGTCATGCAGACTCAGATTCAACAAGGCACATACCCTAAGGCGGAAGATCTTGAGATTAAAAGAGTAGGTTACACAGAGGAGGACTGCTTGACTCACTTGATTAAGGCAGGAAAAGAAGACGTCACATTATGACTAGACTAGAAGCAAGTGCTTAGCCTCACTGGCCTCTCAGTGAGGAGGAATACGAGCCCCCCGCCCCACCGAACAGTCATTATGATTTATTGGAGTTGTGCTGAAATTACTTGTCCAGTGAACTGTTTGTAACTCTTGCTCCACAGTGGGGGCTCAGCCTGTTTCTGGTCATCGTTGTTATAAGAAGGCCCACCTGGCACTGCGAGCAGAGGTGGCTGAATCAGACAACTAAATGACTCCTGTGGTTGGGATTCCACGGCTCAGAACTGGAAGACTTAAGGGGCAGCTGACAGCCTCTTTATTCAGCGTGGTGTGCCTCACATTTCACTGGCAAGAGGCAAGTGCCAGGCAGTTTCTCAGCTTTCTGGGTGGACACTGGAGCCAGAAGAATCGCTTCTGATTCCTAACAGGCCTCTTCAGTGCGCCGACACGCCATGTCATTCCAGGTGCTCTGCTTTGTTGAGGCTGTGAGCTTTCCCTCCACCTGTGGTTACATTCACTTCTCTGCTGCATGCCTGTACCCCAGCCAAACACGTGCCATGCTCACTGGACCACTGTAACACGCACCCCTCAGTGCTGCCCACGGTCAGATCCAGTTCACTCTGCCACTGCCACACGCCTTCTCCTCTCCTCGGACCTCCAGCATCTCCTCCCCGTCCTCATGCTCAGTGGGTGATCTTGCTTCCTGTTTCACTGTAAAAGGAGAAGCCATCAGAAGAAAACCAGCACGAAGACGAGACCCCCACAATGTTCTTTTTGGGCTGAAACCCTTCACTCACTTCCCATCCACCCCAGCTCTTACCAGCCTCCTGGTCATTTTGGCCTTAGTCTGTTGGACCAAAGTTATTCAGATATAGGAATAGAGAAGAAAAGTAATGAAGAACTAATAATGATCATAATGATACATCTGCTGTATCTGTAGTTTATTTCAAACAGCTGACGCGCTCTGCCTGTTTCTAGGAGCTCCTTCTGACGGTGCTACAGGCTGCCGGGGATGGTGCTTTCTGCGAGGCGTGGCAGGACACCACTGTCACCCATCTCAGTTCTGAACAGTCTCAGAGTCCTGGCTACCAGAGCCCAGGAGGTGCAGCCAAGCGTCGTCTCAGGACTACCAGCCTCCCTTCCTCCGGGAGACAACGGACGCTCATTTAGGCAGCGGCTTTCAGACTTGTGTTGTTGTTGCTGATTTCCCACAACAAGAAATATATTTATGTGAAGACGTAGTACACACGTACACACAGTCACACGTGTGGCTGAAAGCAGAGTCTGTTAGAGAGCATTTATCTCTACAATATGCAGAGCACTCGTTTTTAAATCTAGTTTTCAAGTGCTGGTTGTGATGTAATAAATAGATTTCATTACTAACCAATGAGCCAAAGCCTATGGTTTGGAAAATAATTCATTAAGGGATAATTAGAGACGTTAATAGACAAAAATCTTTAAGACTTCATTGACAAATAGATGAACATTAATTTAAAACCCACTCAACTGCCAGCACCTCCAAGGGAGTGGCCGCATGATTAGCTGCTTTGCTAAGAATCAATGACTCATATGACTATTTGTCTGTGTGGTGAAAAGCAAAGCTGATGTCAGGACAAATAAGGTAAAATCAGGAAAAGGGAATCAGCTCCTTCCGACTGCTCTTTTTTGTTTTCCATCAGCAAAAACACCACTACTCAAGTAGCCTCTGCGTTGCAGAGGGCAGATTGCGCAAGGGACTGGACGGATGAGAAGAGTTCTGCGCTACTTCCCAACCCTGGACTTCACTCCTTCAGCAAGTCTTGACTGCTTGCCTGGTGTGTGCGCCAGGAGGCGGGGACCCAGCCGTGACCAAGCCTCAGTACTGATGCTGTGGAGAAGCCACCACTGGAGCTGAGGGGACGGACAATGAATAGACGAACAGGCAGAGAGGACACAGCTGCGCTGTGAAGGTGGTGGAGAGTCACAGGGTGACCCGCTCGTCCCCTTGTCTGCTGTTACTGTAAGACTAGTAACAGCACAATTACCACTGTCGTGGTCAGGGAAGGCCGTCTGGGGAGGTGACATCTCACCTGAAGCCTGAAGAACGAGGAGGAGCCACCTGGGGCTGGGCGGGGCCTGCAGCCTCTCCAGCCCGCAGAGCGAGCAGGCGGAGAGCGCGTGCGCCCGGCGGGCGGGGAGAGGAGCGCGCGGAGGCCGGCGCGCGGAGCTCGGCTTCCGCTCCGTGGCAAGGCGCGCCATCAGAGGCTCTAAGCGAGGAAGTGACAACGATGATTTAACACTGGTTATTGTGTGGGGAATGTGTTGGGCGTAGGGAATGTGTTTTGGCGTTCCAGGCAGGAGATGATAGGGCTTCACTATGGTGGTGGCAGACTCTAAAATCCTGTTTTGTTTACAATTAATAGACAATATGAAAGTCATTCTGCTTATCTGAAAATGTTGCTTATTTTGCCTCCAAAGCAAACATTTTTCCATCTTTGCTAAATAATTTAAATTCACCGGTCCTAGTGTGTGTGTGTGTGTGTGTGTGTGTGTGTGTGTGTGCGTGCGTGTGCGTGCGCGCGCGCGCGCACAGGGCGGCGGTGGAGGCTGTTTTGTAATCATGCACGTGTAGGATTTGTTTGGAGGGTTTGGAAGGGCTGGCGTAGGTTAGGATTGCTGCGAAGTGGAGGCTGATGCCAAGGTGCGGGCAGCGTAAGGCAGAGGCATGTCCCGCAGCTCCCTGGGAATGCCATCAAGCTTGGGAAAGTATTAAGGGTGCTGTATATACCAGGCCCACCTTGGTGACATAGGGGAAAAGAAAGATGTGAAGATGTGTAGTCTTCTAATTTATTTGAGAAAATCTGAGATATCAGAGTAAGAGAATGTTATTTGCATGAGGGTCTCAAAGCCTCAAAACCACCTAGAGGAAGTGAATTTGAGGCTGATGGTCGATCCCCTAGAATACCACGGCCGTTATTTCCTAAACCAAACAGTAAGAGACTTTTCCTAACCATTCTGTGGGGAAAGGTTGGGGCTGCCTGGGAGGGTAGGAAATCCATCTCAAGGAGGCAGAAAACCAAGAGATGTGGCCATCTGCCTATGAGGAATTGCTTATTATGAGACAGATGAATGCTTCTCTGGTCTAATCTTTGAGGAAATTTGCTTTAAATTCTTAAGAAAAAGAACAGTGAAGCTGAAAAAAAAGAAAGCTGCCCCTTGGAGGCTTACACTGCATCAGCCCATTAGCCCAAGGGCTAGTTTACAGCTAAAAATCTGTATCATTCCCCAGAAGGAAGATTTGGGAACCCCTCCCTCCCCTCCATCAGTTTTGGGCAGAGCCGCAGCGGGAGCTGGGACAGACGGCTGCGGAGTCCGGTGGGAGCCTGGCAGGAGGCACATCCTGAGCAAGAAAAAAGCTCCTAGAGCCCTGAGAGCACTTGGGGCCCGTGGAAATGAGAAAAACTTCGGAAGTTCGACGTCCTTATAAGGAAACCAGAGTGAGAACTTAGAGCCAGACACCACTGATTTTGCCATCCCCCATCTCGGAAGCCCCCGAGTGTGGTCTGGGAAATGAAGGTGACATTTGGTGGGTCAGAGCAAGCGTTGCTGTGCAATCTCCCTTGGAAATTCACAAGAATTAATTAAGCCAATATTTAGTCTAGGAATAGTTTACATCCAGATTAGCTTGGAGGTGAGAAAATAGATCAAGGAAACTCTCAGCCCTCCAGCAGCTGTTCGGAGAGAGAAGAGTCCCAGACACACACGCAGAGCGACGCCCTGTTCCTTCCTCCTGCGCATGTGGTGACCCAGGGTGGACTATTCTCACAAAGCAGGCTCCCTGGTCCGGTTCCAGATCAGGTGCAGGCTGAGAGAGGCTTGAGCACCACTTAATTTCTTAGAGCTCTTTGCTCCGCAGACACACATACGAGTAGAGGTTTGTTCTTAAAAGCCCTGGTTCGGGCGCAGTACAGGGCCCTGCAGGGGTCTGTCTGGCTGCTAACCAGTTACCGTGTGTCCACGTCTACTCTGCTTCTTTAGTCACACCTGTAAACAGCATTTAGGTTTTTGCAAAAAGGCAAGTCAAAAGCTTGCATGAAGTTACTAACATGTGATATCGCACAGAAACACATTTGGCTTTCTGACACATCTCCAAAATTAATCACACATGCTGTCTACTTTCAGAATAGGCTAGAGCTGGCTCAGCACGTCCAGCAGGTTGATCTAGCTTCCAAGGGCTGTGTCGTTATGTGTGTAGGTGCACCTTTCCCAGAAAGAGTAACTAGCAGTGCTTTCATCTGTCCAAAATTGGTTTTTGTTTAATTGCTCTATTTATCACCTTCATAAATTCACATCTCGCTCACAGCAACATCCTGGAGGAGGAGTATGTGTGAGCCAATAAAAATGAAGTAATGAAAAAATGTAATGAGTCATTTTAAGAAAACATCATTAAAAAGCTGAGTAAGAAAATAAATGTTTCGGCCCAGATATACCTTGAATAGAACTTTCTGTTCAAGTGTAGAAAGTGACAGATGCACATAAGGAAACCATGCCCATGTAGTTCTTGCAAACGACGCAGACTGCTGATGGGAGAGAAGCATGGACAGCAAAGCATGAACTCAACTCTCGTGAAAGACTTAAGGCTTCATTGATGGGAAGCAGAGATGAACCGTGGATGTGGGCACAGTGAGGGCTCACTCGAGGCTACGAGGAAGGGCCACGAGGAAAGCAAGCAGTGACATTTATACTTTCCTGAGTTTGGTCTTGCGTAGTCAGGGCCAGATACAGCAGATCCTTTAAAGAAAAGGGGGGAAATTGAAAACAAAAACAATGAATTAAGGGAAATCAATTCTAGGCCAGAATTGTAAAAAGATGTGAGATTGATTATTTTTAAAAGCCAATGCTATCTCAAAGGGTAAAAAGTCAAATTCTTCCTTAAAATTACTTTTTAAGAAACAATTAGAATCAAACTTTCAACTATTGATTTTTTTTAAAGAAAAGGCCCACCATTTGAACAGCGAGAGAAGAATCTAAAATGATTCATCATCCTTCTGAAACTCCTGCCCCACCTGTTTCTATCGGTCAGACACTTTGTGTCCCGTATCACAGAGAAAAGCCTTCTCTCAGCCTACTTGCAGAATGAAGAAGTAGCCTATTTAAAACAAACATTTATTGTGTATCTATTTTGCGATCTATATTGTCCCAAGTACTGGAAATTCGGCCGTGAATAAGACAGACAGTATGGTCCCCAAGGAGCTTATGTTCTGGTGAGGGAGGACAAGCAATAAACCCATAAAAATAAATGAATAAAGAACCGATAAGTGTGATGAAGAAGCTGCAACAGGACACTGGGATGAAGGTGACTGGGGAGATGGGGCACTGCCTTGGCCACGGTGGTCGGGGTGGCCGCTCTGTCTTTTCACCGTAACCTTCTATGGCAGAAGGGTCAACTCCACTCACAAGGACCCTCCCTCATGACCTAACCACCTACCAAAGGCCCCACCTCCTAACACCTTAGGGGCTGGGATTTCAGCGTATGAACCTGGGGACACAAATATTCAGTCTGTTGCAGTGTAACAGGCAGAACAGTAGGAGATTTGTCCTCAGCAAACTTAAGCTGCAAAGAGAGAAGCACCCAAAAGATTAAACAAAATGAGAGATATTAACCCAGTTTCATGGAAAAAATGTCGCAATTTCCAAAGAGAAGTAACAAAGCCATGAGAGCCTGGAGAAAACTCCCGCAGCAGGGGAAGCTAAGAGCCCCCAGACCACAGACAGCCAGGATGAGACGGATCATGTCTAGTCTGAAAGAGGTAAATGTCATGCTGAAGCCCTCAAAGGCTATGATAACAAGGCTGTGGCTCTCTGGTAAAAGCTGAATGAACCAAAAATAGCAGCGAAAACCACCCAGCATTTAACAAGACTCACAGAATCCACGGTGCCAGTAAAGCTAAAGCGCGGTGGAGGTAAAAACGGGACACTGAATACCCACCTCCCCCACCCCTGCAGCGGGAGGCCAGAGGCCCTGCTGGACACGTCCTGAGTCAGGAATGCGGTGCGGCTCCTGAGTGCCACAGCCCTGTGGGTGCAAGCAAGGGCTCTGAGAGCAGCGGGCCCTACCGCGTACCAGCCACGTGACTTCCACAAACATCTCTAAACATCTGTTTCCTCGGGTGAAAAATGGGGATAATAACAGTGACTGCATAATAACGCTATGCAAAATGCGTGGTCACAACGCATTAAGTGAGCTGATGTATTAGAAGGTTTATTAACGTTCCCGGCACAAGGTAAACATTCAAAGCACTAGCTCTGTTGCTTCTGAATCAGTCACAGAGCAGACAGTGAGGGGTCTGGTGGCCGAGTGTAACTGTGGTGGGAAGGGCAGTGGAGCCAACCTAGGAAATCGAGAGAGCCCAGAGTGGGGAGGGTACAGCTCAGGGGTAGAGTGCGTGCTTAGCATGTACAAGGTCCTGGGTTCAATCCCTGGTACTTCCCTTAAATAAATAAAGAAATAAACCTACTCACCTCCCTCCCACCAAAAATAAAAGAGGGTCCAAGACTCACAGAGCCAGTGCCTGAGGGAGGGCAGCCCACACACGGTTTGAGGGAGCCCCTCCCACAAGCACAGGGGATGCTGCTAAGGAAAAGAAAACAGCAAGTGTCCACACCACCAAAGAAGCAGCGAGCACGGTAACTGAATCTACGTTATTCTGGGCCTAAAATCTGTGTCCTTGATTACCGTGTTATCGCATCTTGAGATTTTAATTGGGACATTGAACACTTACTAAAGCGTGTGAAGAGAACTAAAAACTAGATTTGTGAAATCATTGCATAGTGAAATACTATATATGGTCACGTTTCCAAGTTCTCAGTCTAACAGAACTTGCCCTCTGTTAGATCCTTTCTAAAAACAACAGAAAAATTTACACCGTATTCTTTTCCCTGCTGTGTTATTTCCCCTTCAATAGAAAACTGCATCTTATTTACCTCAGAATCCACAGGCACACAGAAAAGGCTCAATAAATGTTTATTTAGCAAACCCAAAATGTCTTCCAGAAAACCATATTTCAGGATATAATACTTTAAAATGAAGTTATCCTAGAAAGGAACAGTCCAGTCCAGTCACATAATGAAATACCACTCGGCAATGAAAAGGAACAAGCCACTGATGCGTGTAGCAACACAGACGAACATCAAAAGCATTATCAAAAAATCAAAAGGACACATGCTATGTGATTCTGGACAAAACTATACAAATCAGTGGTAGGCAGGGGGTGGGGAAGGTGGCGGATTACAGAGATGCGTGAGGAAACTTTGAGACAATAGAAATGTTCTGTGTCTTGATTGTGGTCATGGTTACATGACGGGATATTGTCATCAAAATTCACAGAACTGTATATGTTAAGGGGGTGAATGTCACTGTAGATAAATTATTCCTCAACGAGCCTGACTGAGAAATAAAGGAAGACCTAAGATCACAATATATGATGCTCCTTGATAACTTACTTAAAATACACTTACTAATTCTGAGGTGACAGAGTATTTCACAGACGTCCTAAAAGCAATTGTCCTGCACTTAACAAAGTCCAAAACATCATTTAACTGTAGCATCTCAAAGATACTGACAATCCTAGCTATTCATTTGCTACTGTTTCTGTGAAGAGTGTGTTGTATAAACCTGAAAAGGGGATGAGAAATGCGGCCCTCA